ATTAAAAAGTCATTTCTTAAAGTTTTATCATCATACTCAATTATCTTGGTTACTAAGTACATTAACTACAGTTCAAAAAGTTGGTCATATTCCAACATATAAAGTATTTTAAAAGCTCTCTTTTCTTTTAAAAATGAATAAAACCAATTTTTTTTGTTTCTTGCTTTTAGTCAAAAGTAAAAGATGAAAGTTCAGTACCCTTAGGTCTTTTTCTTTATCCAGTTTTACAAACAGCTGATATACTTGTTTTCAAAACTACACATTTACCTATTGGTGAAAATCAAATTCCACATTTACAATTATGCACTTATATGATAGAAAAATTCTATCATTATTTTAAACAACATATTTCTTGTTCCACAAAATGATGGCTAGTTCATAATTTATCTTTTTTAATTCTAAATATATAATTTTTTTTCCATTTCAATAGCTGAAACTACTCGTATTCGAAGTCTTCGCCATCCGGAACAAAAAATGTCGAAATCTGATGTTGAAGAACGTTCACGTATTGATATCATGGATGATGAAAAAATTATTCAAGAACGTATAATGAAAGCTTTAACAGATTTTAATGCGTAAGTTTCTTATGATCGTGAACAACGACCAGGCGTATCCAATTTAATTGATATTTATGCTGGTATGACCAATCAATCAATTGAAAGTATCGTTGATGAAGCACAACGAGATAATCTTGATACTGGTGCATTTAAAAGACGTCTTGCACAAATAATTATTGAACATTTTCGAACAAAACGTGTTGAATATTTAAAATTAATGAACGATAGTTCCTATCTTTTAAGTATCCTTGATAATGGTCGCGAACATGCGACAGAAATAGCTGATAAAACCTTGAATGAAGTCAAACATATAATGGACTTCAATTAGGTTTAGTTTTGTTTTCTAGATGAAAAAAAAAGAAGAAGAATGAACGCTTTCGAAACAGAATTAGGTGTACTAACTGAAATAGCGAAAGCTGTTGATGAAATGGGTTGGCTATTGCCAACAGATGTTCAAAGTGAAGCTATTCCGGTGATTCTCGATGGCGCTGATGTTTTAATGGTATGAAGTACGTACATAAATAAATTAGTAGAAAAATTATTTTTTTTGAAAAAAATTTAGGCAGTAGAAACGGGTAGTGGAAAAACCGGTGCATTTTGTTTACCAATATTACAAATTGTGCATGAAACATTGAGAGATATTCAAGAAGGAAATAAGGGTCCTCGCGCACGAAAACAAGCCAGTGCAAGTAATGAATTGAAACCACTGCAACTTAAGTTTCATGATCGATCACATGGATTAGGTTAATTTATTTATTTATTTTTCTATTATCAAATATCCCAATGAAAATAAACCT